AAAAAAAAAAAAAAAGTAGGCTTCATACCCAGTGCAGAGCCCAACGCCGGCTTGAAGACATGACACTGAGATCAAGACCTGAGCCGAGATCAAGAGTCAGATGCTTAGATCCACTCTCGCATCCCTGAGATGTAGGGGGAGGGTTGGAGGGTTGGAAGGAACTTTTAAAAAGACGGTTTTATTGAGGTATAATTGATATGGCATAAACTGTACATATTTAATGTATACAATTGACGAGTGTGAACATGTATATACCTGTGAAACCATCACCACAATATCAAGGTAATATCCATCACCTCCAAACATTTCATTGTGTTCTTGTGTGTGTGTGTGTGTGTGTGTGTGTGTGTGTATAGAACACATGAGACCTACCCTTTTAAAAACCTAAAAAAAAAGCCCCCTTTATTTTTTTAGGTAAACTACTCACTCCCAACATGGGGCTCAAACTCACGTCCCCAAGAGGAAAAGTCACATGTGCTACCATGAGCCAGCCAGGCGTCCCACTTACAACTTTTTTACGTGGATAATACAGCATTGTTGACTATAGAGAGCTATTTTATAAGTAGAATCAATTGGACTTCGAGAAGACAGTATACAAATAACTGAGGTTTAGGTAACACTGACCCATTTGCTGAGGAGCTATAGAAGCAGGTTTTTGAGGGGTGATGACAGTTTTATAATATGTGCTGCCTAAGCAAGCGCAAGGGAATGATAACCATTTTAGTTTATTGGGTGTGAGGGGCCTATAGATCCCCAAGTGGAGGTGTCCAGTGGGCCGTTGGGTTAGTGGAGTGAAACTCAGGAGAAATGACTATGCTCAAAATCGAATTTAGTAATTGAGCCCCTGTTTCCAATGGTGGACTAAACAGCTGCCCGATCCCTGAGCTGAAGACAACTAAAAATTTTGGATGAAATGCTTTAAAAACTCAAAACACTGAAAGACAGTGAAGAATTATTGGTGTTGAGGGTGTGAAAGACAGGAAGTCTGAGAGGTGAGACAATGGTAAGACTGCTTGTGCCCTGGAGTCATTTGCTGATTGGAATTGGTGGCAGAAAATGCGTTGTGTGGGGCAAGTGAGACAAAAATTGTAGTCCAAATGTCCCTGAAGGTGAGAAACCTGGCAAGCCACCTTCCTATTTTGGGTTAGGGTCCCGAAAGCTGCACTCTTGGGGGAAACCTTGGACTTGGGTAAACCAGAAATAAACAGAAAATTCACACCCAAGATATTCAAAAAACAAAATTAAGAATCAATCTATGAGTTTAACAGTTAGACTCAACTGAGGAGCAAGGAATGCATTGGAAGAAAGAATGGAGAAACTACCAACAGTGAAGCACAGGTTAAACAGAAATGGGAAACATAAGAGAGTGTTAGAGACAGAAAGGATACTGTGAAAAAATCTAACACCTTTATTTGGAGCCCCGAAAGGAGGGGAAAAA